TGGGGAATTTGAGTAGGGGAGTTTGGAAGGTTCTTAAAGCGGATGATGTGTGGGCTGAATTATGGAAAATAGACAGAAATTCCTACAGAAAAACAAAAAGCAGAGAAAGGGCATTTCAGATAACAGGAAATCACTAGTCTCATAAATTCAAACAAACAGGAAATTGTGCAGTTGCACGTTCTGCCATTAACTAGTTCTTTTTAACCTTTATGGAATTTCCTGAATTTCCTTCCATAACCTTTATGGAAGTCCCTCTGGGATTTCAGTTTTCTCATCTCAAAAAAAAAAAAAAAAGGCTGGGGGTGGAAAGAGACAACCTAGATTTTCTGGAAGGTACTTTCCGACTGGGTATCGTCACACTAAAGAAAGAGAAATAAAAAGAAGGGTAGTTTTGGAAGAAGTCAAATGTTATTTTTACAGCTTAAGCCAGAAGCTCCCCTTTTCCAGCCACCAAGATGACAGGCAGAGCTTTGCAGCGATTCAAAAATTGTCGCAGAGATTAACTCACCCACTTCACAGATACTTAGGACATGGACTGAGCCGGGCCCTATACTAGTAAGGAGCCCACTGTCCAGCAGAGGGTGACAGGCGCGTAAATAAGTACAGGAGTACTTGGAAATAGAATTCGTCTGCTGGCCGGGAGCGCGTGGGAGTACACGTGCAGGGTGAGTGACAATTTATGTGCTAACCAAATGAACTGCCTATTTCCTCACCCTGCTTCACCTTCTCCAAGAGGCCGTAAACATTCTCATCTGCCAATTCTTCCTTGGTAGGCCGACAGGGTGCCCTCTCTTCACCTGCAGCTTTTCCCAGACCTGTGTATAATGCTCCTCGCACGCACAGAAAATGCAGGTCTCAAGGCTGACCAGAAGGTGCCTGGTCCCGTGACAGCTTCGCTCCGACCGGAGCACCCAATGAGGGCTTCGGGGCAACGTGGGAAGAGGTGGCCAGAAGGCGGGCTGTGCAGTGCCACCAGGGGTTGGGCTCCCCGCGGCGGGGCGGGACTCAGGCTACAATATAAGAGAGAAGCGCCACTATCGCGGCCGCAGTACTGAGCTGGCGCCCCAGCCACAACCTGGAGGTCACTGGCATCGAGCTTGCAATCAGACCCAGAGACAGTGAACAAGAGGAAAAGGTCTGATTTCCATTTATTCGTTTATCTAGTATCGGTAGATAGAAGGCCGGTGGGGGGGGGGTTGTAAGAGTCAGGCAGGACTGGCTCGGGGGCGTAGATCGGTCGGTACGCTGAGAGGATCGGAGGGAGGGATCCATTGTGACCCGAGGGGCTCCAGCAGCTGCAGGCGCCCGAACTCAGCAGCTTCTGTTCCCCGCAGGACCACGTCTTGTAGCTGCTTTCAGCCCCAGCCCCCGATGATGCGGCTCCTCTGGAAATTCCGCTCCTCCGCCGCCGGCAGCGCCACCCCGGAACTCGCCTTCTCCAACGTGCTCACGCCTGGCCGCATCCCTGAGTTCTGCATCCCGCCGCGGCTGCCGGTGGCCTGCGCGCTCGAGTCCTCGCCCCCGGCCGCCGCTCTACCCCGGCGGTGCGCGGCGGAACCGGACCTGTGGGCCCGCGCAGCCCACGAAAGCGCCGGCTGCACCGACTGGGACCCGCGCTCGCAGGCGGCGCTGTCGCTGCTGCACTTGCCCCGAGCGCGCACCGCCTATGGCTTCTGCGCGCTGCTCGAGAGCCCGCACACCCGCCGCAAGGAGTCGCTCTTCCTCGGGGACCCGGGCGCCACCACGCTCCTCCGGGCCCCAGCCGCCCGGCCCGCGCCTCGCCGTCGGGCTCATACCTACGATGGCGTTGGTGTCCGGGACGCCCCCTCAGTGCCCCTGAGACCTGATCTTGCCGTCACCTCCGCAGTCCTAGGCGGCCCCAGTCTCGGGCGGGACTCACTCTCCCCGCGGTCCCGCGGCCGCCGCCTCCTGCGCGCCCCCGACGGGCTGCTGAGCCGCGCGCTACGGGCCCGGAAGAGTCGCGGTCTGGTCCGCGCCCGCTCGGTCTCCAGCGGGGACGAGGACGGGGCGCGCGGCGTCCGCTCGGAGTCCCTCGCCGGATCTCGCTCCGAGCACCCGCCGTCGCCGCCCAGCCCGCGCCCCGAGTGCCTGGAGGCCGAGGGCACCGTGGCTCTGGGCCACGCCGGGGCCGCCCTGCGCCTGGCCGCCGAGTACTGTCCGGCCGGCGGGCGCCTCCGCATCCGGCTACTCCGCGCGGAGGGCCCGGCCGGGGGCGCCCCCGAGCCCCGGGCCGTCGGCTGCCGCGTCAGCCTGGTCCTGCAGCCGCCCCGCAGCGCGCGCAGGCAGCGCGGCTCGGTGCTCCGGCGGAGCCGCAAGGCCGCCCTGGACCAGGACTTCTGCTTCGACGGGCTCACGGAGGAGCAGGTGCGCCGCCTGGCCGTGCGCGTCAAGGCCGAGGGCAAGGGCCGGGGCCTGGAGCGCGGCCGCCTGCTGGGCCAGGGCGAGCTGCCGCTGGGCTCCCTCCTGCTGCTCTGAGGGCTTCGGCCTCCCGCCTGCTGGGGACTCTGGGCGCTGGCTGTCGCTTTGTACAAAATAAATGTTAATTTATTTTTTTAAATTATGATTTTATTTATTTGACTTTTGGTTTCTTGGCGTCCACCTTTGTCATTGTTGGTGGAGAAGGAAAAAATAATGCCTACCTCCTCTATATTCACAGCACCCCATCCTCTTTCCAGAGTATTTTTTCATTCAAAGGGAAAACGAGTGGCCTGAGAATAAAAGAGAGAAAAAGGAAGTACACCCATCTACCTTATTTTTCATTCCTTCCTGCTTTATATCAATGCTAAATGGTTTATGGATTTTTTAAAAAACAAGTTATTCATTCAGAATCGTGCTCAATGCTTTACATATTGACCGGCCCGTAGGTAGTATCCTCACTTGTACACACACACCCCAGGGTGAGAGACTCTCTCACTACAAGGATATCTTGGTGGGAAGAGAATTCTTTTAGCACTTAGAAAGAACAGGATTCTTTTGGAAGTGAATTCTTCAAAAATTTCTGAGAAAGAAAAACAAAGGAAACTTAAGACCCTGGAACAGGTGGTCATGTAGAAAACAGATATTCCTGACATCTCTTCCTTCATCAGGAGCCCTGGGAAATCTTACTTCAGTGAAGAAATCTTCCCTGACTCTGTAAACTAGTTTTTTTTTTTTTGGTAGCATTATTCCCACCTAGCTTTGTATCTGAGTTATATAGTAATTAGCTTTCTAGATGAGTTGAAAAGTAAATTGTTAGTTTCTTGAACCCTGGGTTCTAAGAGTGTTTTTAAATCCAATTGATTTTCCTTTGTTGATTCAACAAATAGATCTGAGCGCGCTGGAAACTGATTATTCTAAAGTATTTGCCCTTGACTGTAGGAATCTACCTGCTATTGGAAGGCACAGTGGAGTGGGAGACATAGAGAGTCCAACCTTTTTTGTTCTACTTGCCACTTATCTGAATTTGGGCAAATCAGTTCATTTCCCTGAGCCTCACTTTCTAAACCAGTGAAGTGGGGGCAGATGTACTTCACAGGGTTCTGTGAAGGAATGCCTTCTTATCCCAATCACCCTTCAATGCCTGTGAATATGATAGCATGCCTGACAAGGTGGAACTGTCCTGCTGGGTGGGTGGTCAGTAATGTTCCCCAAAAAGGAACACCTTCACGTCTCCTTCCTTCCCAGTTCTTTCTCCCTAGTCCTGGAGTGAAGCCAGGCAAAATGGGTGTCTACCTGAGACCTAAGATTTGAAGGGGCTGGGTGTGGGAATATAGAACCTTCTGGATCCTTCTGGTAAATTTCCCCATCAGCAAAATTTGCAGTGGTTCTTCCCCGGAAAGTCCGTCAACATTATGGTTACAGAAATGAGGTTCTTGCTATGAATTTGGTCAAACTAAATACAAATCTCAGATTTTAAATGTCATTTCAAAGTGGATGCATTACTCCATACAAATAATCAGACTATTTTTGAACCTGAGAAAACACCACAGAGAGGACTCTGGCTCCCAAAGCTGTCTAGCTAGTAGGTATAGCTGAGTTC